GGTGGCGCCCGACGCCGGGTGGGACACACGGTGGGGGACAGGCTGCCCCGGGACCCCCGTGTCCCCAACGCACAGGGTGTCTGGGGTCCCCGCGACACCCGTGTCGTGGTGTCCTCCCAGCACGCGTGGTGTGTCCTGGTTCCCTGGGACACTCACACCCCGGGTGCCTTCCCTGCCTTGTCCCTCCCCACATGGCTCTGTGTGTCTGGGCTCCCTGTGACACCCGTGGCCCTTGGCTCTTCCCACGTGACACTGCGTGTCTGGAGTCCCTCTGACACCCGTGGCCCTTCACGCCACATCGTGTGTCTGGGGTCTCCATAACACCCGTGGCCCTTGTCCCTTCCCACGTGGCATTTGTGTGTCTGGGCTCCCTGTGACACCCGTGTCCCCCCCCCCCCCTTCATTTTGTGCCTGAGGTCCCCGTGACACCCGTGTCCCTCCTGTGTCAGGAGTCCCCACACCACCCCTGTCCCAGGTGCCTCCCCCCTTGTCCCCACCTCCCCCCCCTCCCAGTCCCCTCCCCCCCTTGTCCCCACCTCACCCCCATCCCAGTCCCCTCCCCACGACCCCGGAACGCCCCGTTCAACCGGCTGGGCGGCAGGTTGGAACTGACCCTTCTCCCTCCCTTTCCAGGTGAAGATCTGGTTCCAGAACCGCCGCTCCAAGTTCAAGAAGCTCTACAAGAACGGCGAGGTCCCTCTGGAACACAGTCCCAACAACAGCGACTCCATGGCTTGCAATTCCCCCCCTTCCCCGGCCGTCTGGGACAGTAACTCTCACGGCAGCACACCGGGCCGGACCCCGCTCCCGCAGCCGCTTCCTTACAATTCTTCCCCCGGATTTTTGGAGGAGCACAACCCCTGGTATCACCCCCAGACCCTCAGCGGACCCCACGGACCCCACCAACCCCCACCGGCCACCACGATGCATCACACCTCCCCGGGGCCGCCCCCCAACCCCGGCGCCGTCTATTAACAGCCCGGAGCCAGGACAGGAACCAGAGACAGTGGCAGAATTTCTTTGCCTCCTTTTTTTCCCCTCCTCCTTTTTGTGTTTTTTTCTTCTTTTTTTTTTTTTTCTTTTCCCTTTTTTCCTTCTTTTTTAAAAACCAAAACAACACCAAGGACACCCCTGTAGATGCACCCCTAGATATCCACTTATATATCCTACCCCCTCCCAGCTCATCTCAGGAACAAGAGGACTGCAAAGGGTTAAACTCGTTAGCTCCCAGCCCCGGCAAGGGGGGGGGAAAAAAGTGGCAAATTCTTACAATTTTAATTTTATTATTATTTTTTGTCTTTTTTTCCACCATCCCCCCCCATAAAAAACCAGCCCCGAGGAGCCACGTCCCACCTGGGGGGGGCATTTTGCTGGAGTTTTGCTTCTTGGGGCCACCCCCGCCTTAGGGGGGGCTGCCCAGCTAATGCAGCCCCCACCCCAAGGTGGGCACCCATGAGGGGCACCCACACCCCACTAGGGATGGATCCAGTGGGGACCAGGACACGGGGTCACTGGTGGGTGGCGATGCCGAAGGAGCCGGGTGCTCTTTGCCAGCGTGGCACCCCAAAACCCAGGAACTGGGTGTCTGGGACACCCCCACAGGAACAAACCGGGACAACCCCACTGGAGCAAACTGGGACAACCCCACTGGAGCAAACTGGGCCAAGCCACAGGAACAAAACAGCCTCCCAACCCGGGTGCAGCTCCACGGGACGACGCTCGGGACGGAACCGAAAGGTGGTTCTTTAAAAAGCCCCCAAATATCCGTGGGGGGGGGAGAAAACAAATGAACATTTTAATATTTAAACTCTTCAGAAATGGCTTAAGTTATTTTTTAAAGAGAAAAACCAATCGTGCTGATGTGTTTTCTAACAGTGCCTCCATCTCCCAGTCCCAGCCTGGCTTTTTAAAAATCAACAACAGGTTGGAAAGAAAAGTTGGGGGGGG